CCACATCATCCCGCAGGACAATATATATGGTCCCCCGTCATCGCTATGTGATGGAACCGATCAAAGGAGCCCAGAGAGAATGATTTGAAGTGGAAGCAGAGACTATATCAAGTGTAATATGATCTAACAAAAGACTTCTATAGTGGTTGATGCAAAGAGTATCTCTATTTTTCCAATTCAAGAGGATAGTTTTCTTAGCGATGCATATGGCAGTCAGAACCATGTGAGCCAAAGATGTTTCAATCAGGACGTCGTCCAGGTTTCCCAGTAAACAAAGAGAGGGGGCGGTTGGGATATGACATTTCAGACACTTTGTCAGGTCTTCACATACTCTACCCCAAAATTCCTGGACAGGTGGGCAGGACCACAGTGCATGAATGTAATTGTCAGGAATGTTGTTTGTGCAGTGTGTACAGGTGTCAGACGACACAAACCCCATCTTGAACATCCGATGACCTGTATAGTGTACTCTGTGTAGAATTTTGTACTGAATTAATTGTAAATTGGAGTGTCTGATCATTTTAAAAGTTTTTAAACAAGTTTGGGACCAGAAGTTCTGGTCAAAGCTGACTGATAGATCCACCTCCCATTTTTCAATAGGAATTGCAATTTTACTGTCTATTTTGTACAGTGTCTTATATACTTTAGACAGTAGTTTGGGGGGTTTGAGATTATAGAAGTCTAACACCCTTGGTGGTGTTTGTAATTTTATTTTATTGAGCTTAAATTTTTGTTTGACTACAGATTTAATTTGGTGGTATTCTAAAAAGCTATTCTTATCTATTCTGAATTGGGAGACTATTCTATTAAATGGGATGAAGTCCAATCCTTCATATATGTGTTCCAGGTATAGGATTCTTTTATTTCTCCAGTCCGGAAGGTTCATCATTTTATTATTTTGCAAAATATCAGGATTATTCCAGATAGGTGTGCGTCTGCATGGTATTAGTGAAGACTCTGTCATTTTTAGATACTCCCACCATGCTGTCAGAGAGGCGCTGATACTAATACTTTTGAAGCCTTCATGTTTTCTTATGTTTGAGCTAGTAAATGGTAAGTCTGAAAGCTCTATCGTATTGCAAAGTGTCTGTTCTATGTCTAACCAAGACTCATCTAGTGGGTTATCTTGCAACCATCTTGGTATATATTGCAGCCTGTTGGCTAAGAAATAATAATAAAAGTTGGGTAAATCCAGTCCTCCTCTGTCTTTGGTCTTCTGAAGCGTTTTTAAGCAAATTCGTGGAGGTTTATCCTGCCAAAGGAATTTGGTAATTGAGGAGTCCAGAGATCTAAACCAGTCAGCTGGTGGTTTGTTTGGGATCATTGAAAATAAGTAATTTATTCTGGGTAAGACCATCATTTTAATTGTAGCAACTCTCCCCATGAGTGATATCGGTAAGGATTTCCATCTTGCAAGATCATCTTGTACTTTCTTTTAAAGTGGGATGCAGTTTAGTTTGGTTAGATCTGCTAACTTGGGAGAGACATTAATTCCCAGGTATGTGATATTTCCTGACTCCAATTGTGTATTAAGTAAATTGACAAAAGAGAAATTAATTGGTAGAACTGTGGATTTTAACCAGTTTATAGAGTAATCTGAAACTTTTGAAAAAGAGTTTATCAGTTCTATTGAATGAGAGAGAGACGATTGAGAATTCCAGAGAAAGAGTAAAACATCATCTGCATAAAGACTTATCTTATGTTCTATTTTCTTACACTTTATCCCTTTAATACCTGTTGTTTGCCTAATTGTTGCTGCTAGTGGTTCAATAAAGATAGCAAACAGTGAGGGGGAGAGTGGGCACCCCTGCCTGGTCCCCCTCTGAAGACAGAAGCTAGCTGATATGGTCATTGGTCCTGACATGTGCAGTTGGTGAACTGTATAATGTTTGTAGCCAGTTTATCAAATCAAATCAAATCAACTTTATATAGCACTTTTCATACAAAAAAAATGCAACTCAAAGTGCTTCACAGAATAAAATGGCCCCATAGATCCCATATTCCCATCCCAGCCCCCCTCCCCAAGTATAAAACAATTGACAATTACGGTTCCCCTCCCGCACCCAACTTCCAAGGTGGACACACACACACACACACACACCCGCACACACACACACACACACACCCGCACACACACACACACACACACACACACACACACACACACACACACACACACACACACACACACACACACACACACACACACACACACACACACACACACACACACGAACAACAGAGGAAACAATAGGCTGAGTTCAGATGGGTCAGGTAATGAGCGACACATCATCAGCGGAGCCATCTGCCCTGACAGCAACAGATCTATGGCAGCAGCCAAGTTTATGAAGAAGTTCCCAAAATCAAATTGATGTAAAGTTGCAAATAAGAACTTCCAGTTAACTCTATCAAAAGCCTTTTCTGCATCTAGAGATAATATACTAGTTTCTATGTTTCTACTGTAAGAGAAATCTATCAAATTAAGTAATCTACGTGAGTTTGTGGATGACTGTCTACTCTTGATGAAACCAGTTTGGTCAGGGTGTATTATGAAGGGGGTTACCTTCTCTTATCTTTTTGCCATGGCTTTACAAATTATTTTGAGATCAACATTAATAAGAGAAATTGGGCGATAGCTGGTAGGAAATGCCGGGTCTTTGCCTGGTTTTAACAAGAGACTAATATTGGCTGAGTTCATGTTTGGCGGTAATCTGACACCCTCTTCGATTTCCCTCACCATTCTGAAAAATATTGGAGCCAGAATGATCCAGAATTCTTTGTAGAACTCTGCTGGAAACCCGTATGGACCAGGAGCTTTCCTATTAGTCATGGATTTAAGGGCTTCCTGGAGCTCAGCTGATGTTAGTGGCGAGTCCAGGACTGTAACTTTGCTGTCTGATAATTTAGGAAGTGTTATCCTGTCAAGGAACCCATTGATCTCATTATCTGATGGGTTTATCTGTGGTGAGTACAAAGTTTGGAAAAAGTCTCTGAAAGTGTTGTTTATGCTTTCAGGGTCATAAACTACATTCCCGGTTGAGTCTTTAACAGCAGATATGGTAGCTTTCTCTTTATTTATTTTTAATTGGCTAGCTAAAAATTTACCTGATTTATTACTGAGTTCTAAGTTTTCTATTTGTAGTCTTTGTGCTAAAAATTGTGTCTTTTTGTCAATAATTTCATGAAGTTCTAATTTAGCTTTACGTAATTTGCTCATTAACTCTTCTTCTGTGGATGCCTCTAAAGACTTGATGATTTCTTCTAACTCTGAATACATTTGTTTTCTGTTTTTTTCTTATGTGATGAGAAAGAGATTATTTTACCTCTCATCACTGCCTTTCCTGCCTCCCAGAGAACAGATGCTGATGTTCCAGGCAGGTCATTATGTTCTAAACATAAAGCCCACTCCTTTTTTAAAAATTCTATAAAACCTTCATCTTTAAGCAGTGATGTATTACACCTCCAGTTTTTGCTCGGTGGGATTGTCTTCTTATTTACCAGAGTTAATGAAACCGAAGCATGGTCGCTGACAACTATGGGGTGTATCTCAGTGTCTGACATGTCAGCCAACAATGAGCTGCTGACTAGAAAATAATCCAAACGTGAATGAGAGTGATGGACGTGTGAAAAAAATGTATATTCTCTTCGGTTAGGATGAAGAGATCGCCATGCATCACAAAGCCCATAATCACTCATGTACTGTTTAACTATATTAGTGGATTGCCAATTGCATTTAGTCCTAGCTGTACTGAGCCTGTCTCTTAAAGAGTTCATCCAAAAATTAAAATCGCCTCCAAGTATAAGTGGACAGTCAGAGTGTTCGGAGAGTACAGAGAAAAAATTATGAAAGAATGAAGGGTCATCAATATTTGGACAGTATATGTTGACAATACATAAGCTTTGGTTCTGTACAGATATTTTTAACATTATAAATCTACCCTCTGGATAAGACACTGTGTCTAATACTGTGAAATTGATGTTTTTGTGTATTAAAATAGCTACACCTCTTTGCCTAGAGTTATAGCAGGCAGAGAACATGCTGGGAAACTCAGGTGTTTTAAGTTCATCTGCAGATGTGGCAGATCTACGAGTCTCTTGTAACAATATTACGTCTGCTTGCACTCTCTTTAACTGATCAAAAATCTTTATTCTTTTCTCTATGGAGCTAGCTCCATGTGCGTTCCATGAGACAAATCTTAGTGCACCCATAGATGTGTGTGAGTAGCTAAAATATGACGCCTTCATGTGAATAAGATGGAATAAGTATCTATTGGGCCATTCCCATCTGTACCGGGTCGGCCCGGGCCGGGTAGCGTAGGTTGTTTACATATCTGGGTGGCCTGGTATTTTTCCGGGCCAACCAAGGCTAATTCTCAGCCCTCTTCTCGAGGGGGTCTGCTTCAGGCCGACCAGGGCCAACACACCCACTGCTGACAGCAAATTCACACCTTCCATTAGAGCAAGCCTCTGATTGGTGGGTAGAATCAGCCCATATGGGCTTAAGGCAAGGATGTGTGGAATCAACCGGGCCAGGCTGGGGCCGACTGGGGCTACCCGCCCCGGGCCAACCCGGTACAGATGGGAATGGCCCATTAATGTATAAAATAGTATGTTAATGAATAACAGAAAAGTAAATAATAATAATAATAAAGATCCAACAGTGTTTGTGGTTGTATTATTTGATGCATAAATTATGATATTGTAATGTGGATTTAATGTGTGTGTGTGTGTGTGTGTGTGTGTGTGTGTGTGTGTGTGTGTGTGTGTGTGTGTGTGTGTGTGTGTGTGTGTGTGTGTGTGTGTGTGTGTGTGTGTGTACGTGTGTGTGTACGTACTGAGTCTGACGCAGTGTTGGAAAGTTGTGTGGTTGTGCCATACAGGTGTAAAGGTACAGAAGCAGGGAAAGAGGACAGGAAAATACAGATACAGGTTAAAAAAGAAGAAAGAACTAAAAAGAAAAGGTGATGGGGTGCGAGGTGGTGATGAACAGACTGTCTTACCATCTGAATCAGAAGACCAGCTCTCATTCCAGTCATCATTTCTGTCTCCAGTTTCAGGCTCAGAGTCTAAAGTCACATCATCATCATCATCTCCGCTAACTTCAGTCTCTGAAGAATCAGATATCTGTTCATGAGGGCTCAGATCTGGGTTCCTGCTAGTTTCTGCTCCTACATCAGTATCTGCTGTCATCTGGTCAGTTGAGCTGCTGGTTGGAACATCTCTGTCTTCAATTTTCTGCTGATGAAGCTGTGAGGTCAAAGGTTCATCTTCATCATCCTCACTCTTTATAGAAACAGCAGTAACAGGAAACCCGACAGCTTCAGTCTCCTCCTTCAAACAGAGATGCTCTCCCTCCAGACTAGTCCAGAGCTCCTCCTGTTCCTCCTTTATGTGGAGGTGTTCTGGGTCCTGCCGGTCCACACCAGCACTCTGTTCTTCAGGAGCTTCTTCTTTAACCAGCACCATCTGTTGAACATCTGTAGGAAACACAGAAACATGATGTGTGTGACAAACCACCATAATTCTATACTAATATGGAGAAAATTGTTGGTATCCTTCAGCCAATGAAAGAAAAACCCAAAATGGTCACAAAAATAACATGAATCTGAAAAAAGTAGTTATGTGTGTGTGTGTGTGTGTGTGTGTGTGTGTGTGTGTGTGTGTGTGTGTGTGTGTGTGTGTGTGTGTGGCAATTATTACATATTAATTATAACCAATGAGATGCAATATTCCATCTAAATATGAAATATCTATCTGACTGAGCTTTGAATGTTTAATCAGAAGATTCTAGGGTTCTTTGTTTCTTTAGGGACCATAAACACACTTCGTATTAATTCAGACAATGTCAAGTTTATAGTTTAAAAAACTAATTTAATTATTTTTCCTAAACTAATAATTTATACATGACAAGATATGAATGAGAGGTGGTGTGGTGGAAGCTAGATGTTGTAGCAACCGTTCTATGTATCTGAGAGAAATTGTGAAATCTGGGTGTAAAAGAATTTGTTGTTTGTTATAAACTAGTGAGTTGTTTATTAAAAACAGCATCAGACGCCATCTACCAAGTCTACGCACCCTTGGTGTGGAGGTTCTCGTTGGATCCGGGGGGTCGTGCGGGTCACTGCCGGTGGAGTGAAATCTGATATCAGGAACCCGTAGATGGTTCTGATAGGACCCGTCCAGTCTGAGATCCCTTGAAGTGAAGGCAGGAAGTTGGAATGCTTATTTGCGTCTGAGGCGGATGTTTGTTTGGCTCTTAGAGAACCGGTTGTCTGGTTTCAGCTGCAGCGTTGCAGAGAGGCTTTGACTGGAGGTCAAAGGAGATTGTTTCAAAAGAGGCTTCTTTCCCGATTTGGCCGAATCGAGGTTCAGCTGGAAACTGAATTACTCGGGAAGTAATTCCTGTTTTATTAAACCACAATGTTATGAGTTTTGGCGTATTCTGGCAAATCAGAATTTGACACGTTTCTGGGTGTTTACCAACATCCCTCAGAAAGCCACGCCTTCCTTCAGATACAAGATTCTTAATTCTGTGAGTAAAGAATCTTTAAACGTTATGTAAGGTGAACCTTAACCTTAATTTGTATCTTATTATAACGTGTATGAGTGTAAACAATGATTAACTTGTTAAATCAAACAGTGATTTGTGATTTAAATGGATCATTGTAAGAACAATATTCATTTCAAATTAACTGATTTAAGCACAGGTTATTCAAACATTTCATTTAAACATCTTGTTCATTCATCACATATGATTACTGTAAGCTTATGAGTTGTAAAAGTCATGGAGTCTTCACTTGTTTAGGGTGAAGAATGTTGACGTCTGGCATTCATGCAGAGAGTGTAGGACCGTGGGAGAGAATGTTTGTTTGAATGTGTTGTCTTCATGGAATTTAAACACGCGCTGAACAGAACCTTCTGTTTACCTCTCATCTGGACGTTTACATCCGCTCACACCACAAACCAGAAAGCCGAAAATGTCCGTTATGCAGAACTGCAGCGGCAACAATATGTCATCGGTGCTCCAGTCTTGGGTCTTTCATATGGATCAAAACCATTTTTAACGTTGAGTTTGTCCACATACCGGTCCTGACGTCTTTATTTAACCTATCCCTGTATATTCCTATCCTGGGATTTCATAATGTTGTTTAACACTTTCAAATCCGCTTCTTCTCTGCGACAGTACTGTTTGTTTCACGGATTGTTTACACTCGTCAGCCTTCCAACATGGCCGCTCACATCCCAGAATGCTATCCGTGATCACGTGTGATCACAAGCCCTATTGAGACACTAACTTCTGTTAGAAAGATACGATCTAAACCAGCGTAGAACAGTTCTAAACAGTTTGCCAAAATTAGGCCACCTCACATTACAAAAACCTAAGCCTCTGCGAGAGGATTCAGGTGGATGGGAGCCGTACCATCCAGGACGTTGTATGCTAGTGCTAGGCCTGGGCAATAAATCCATTTAATGAATTAATTCAAATGTTTTGTTGAGGTCGATTAAAAAAAAAGTAAATCGAAATATTTATGTAATAGCGCCTTTTTGGCCCCCCGGAGCTTCCGTAGCGCTAGTTTCACATAACCGCGACAACAACGTCACAGCACACACACGAAACACGCACATGGCCACCAGTGAGAGTGGGAAGTTTGTTCCTAGGAAAGGAATGAAATCATCCGTTGTTTAGAACTGGTTTGGGTTTGCTGCGACGGACGTGGAGCGTGGCACTTTTATTCCAAGAGGGTGTTCATTTCTTCATTATTCATCTCAGAAATGAGGGTTTCATTTGTCTTGCTTGTGATTAAATAAAAAACTAAATTGGCTTTAAGGTGCCTTCCATTTGTACTTATTGCTGTTCTTAATAATTGAGGGGAGAGAAGATCGGAAAAAAATCGTAAATCGAATTCAAAAATATAAAATCGGAGATTTTATTTTTAGGCCGTATCACCCAGCCCTAGCTAGTGCTAGTGATTTGGTACATGCACCACAGTTTGAGAATGACCATCCAAGAGGACCGTTCCCATCCTGCTCATCACCTGTTGGAACTGTTACCTTCTGGTGAACCTCAGAGATCTAGTCAAGCTAAAACTTCAAGGTTCAACACCAGTGTGTGAATGACTGGTTGTGAAGTGCTTTGGGGGGTTGTAAATCTTAGGCTCTATACAAATACAGACCATTATTTAAACATAACACCTAATGAAAGACATTCTCATAATTCACTGTAATGTCCCACCATAGAATGACAATATATTCATTCATTCATTCATCCACCAGTACCTGTGTCCATGCTGTCCAGGTCCAGGTGGTGAAGAACACACGATGAATCAGTCCCAGATCCTGAAGTGGTAGCAGGTTTTCTTTAGCCGTGTTTAGCTAACAGCTGCAATAGAAACAAAGCAGGAGAGCTGATTAAGATGCTGCTTCAGAACAACGCAGGAGATTAAAGATCCAACGCTTTGGTTCTGATCAGCTGAGGACAGATCCAGTCTGGAAAAGAGGACCTTTGCTCACCAGAGTTCACGGAGTAGAGCTAACCGCTTTTTCCTCCAGAGTCACATTCAGATTCGGGGCTTTTCCGTCGGAGAGTGTGAGCAGGATGGATCAGAGAGCGAGCAGCGATCCTGCATCATGACCAACTCAGATGAGCGAGTCTGATAGAGGGAACCTCTTCAATCTGATGAAAGCAGCAAAACGAGCGCGTTTCTCAGAGAGGCCAAAGGAACAGCAGCAGATCCAGAGGGCAGGAAGTCTAGAGAAAAGCTTTTCTCACCCACAACCTGATTCTGGAGCTCCGATTGTCACGAAGACCGCAGAATATCTTCTCTGGTTCTGGAAAGAACTCCACCAAGTTGTTGAGGAGGAGAAGAAAGTTTCCACAGCCTGGTGAGAAGATTTCTGCAGCAGCAGCAGTTAGTCGCTTTAGCTGATCAACTCTCCCAGAGACTGAAGTGAAGACATTTTTACTGCAGAGCCTCAAATATTCTCCTCACACACCAGAACAACAACAAGCTAGCTCTGCTAGCAGCTTCCGGTTTCTGCATTTTCCGGTGGTCGGTGACCAGCGTGAAGGTGCACTACCGCCACCTGCTGGACTGGAGTTATTTCCACAGACGTGTGTTCAACATTTGACTAATAAACCACACATACGTTGACATTATTTCCCCAGACAAATATTTTAATCAAAGACAAGTTATGTTTTTTATATTTTTATTTTTATATTTGCTTCATAAGTCGTGACAAACAAGTTAAAAAAAGCGTTTTTCATTATGATATTCCTTTATTTAAATCTGACCAAGTTTTTTTCTCTTGACTTTTTGACCTCAATCTGTTTTTCATTGAAGCAGTAATAAATAAATGAAGTTTAAGAAATAAATATTTCGGAAGGTGTTAATTTGGCAATGGTTTCATGTGATGCTTGTTGTGTACAGTGGAGAATACAGTCGGTAAAGACAGCTCACCCTTGCCCTGCCTCCAACATGCCTCCATCAAAAAGGCTATCAGTTTTTAAATTGGCTATAAAACTCAAAAGGAAGGTTAAGTTGCTGAAATAACTAAATAAAATGATAACGGCTGTTACAAAGTTTGTATTAATCTATTAACGTTTACTTTTTATGTTTTTCAAAGATTACAACACTTTAAAAGTCACAAATTATGAGACCATCAAAAATGGTCTCATAAACCTATTGGTTTCATAATGCTAGTGTGTAACCTGACAAATAGGTCTCGCAAACCATAAGTGCACACACACACACAAACACACACACATGCGGGTGCACTGACACCTCGGTGGTCCTTGGGTAGTGCCCAGGCAGTGGTGGGGGTCTCCCGCCTCCCTCCCTGGGCGTCATGGGCCGGTGTCTTGGCTGCTGCCGTGGATCTGTTGCTGTAGAGGCAGATGGCTCCGCTGATGATGTGTCGTCCATTACCTGACCCAACTGAACTCAGCCGATTGTTTACTCTGTTGTTCACGTGTGCGAGTGTGTGAGTGAGTGTACGTTCACCTTGGAAATTGGTTGCGGGAGGGGAAGTGTAATTGTCAATTATTTTATACTTGGGGAGGGGGCTGGGATGGGGATTATGGGATCTATGGGGCCATTTTATTCTGTGAAGCACTTTGAGTTGCATTTCTTTTGTATGAAAAGTGCTATATAAAGTTGATTTGATAAAGTTGATGCTCATCCACGTAATACTTAAAGTCACATGGCACATTTCCCTTTTCTGATCCAATCAGAACCCTCCAGATCTGACGCGAGGCATGGTTTTGTTGGTGCTCGGTACATACCCTCTTGTTGTCCTTTTTTGATTCAACTGTAAATCAAAACATCCAAATTATAAAACTATGCCCACGTCATCTTAACTTCAGTTCAAAGCGTTCTAGAGAAGTTATCGGAGTGGCCAATCCGTATTTTTCCTCTTAAAGTCGAAAGAACCTAACGACAAGCTGGACTAAATCTGTTGCATGTTCCACCTGGCAACAGTTCCTTTCAGAATAAAAGCTGAACCATCATGACCCCTTTCAGGGTCCTGCTAGATGCCAATAAAACCGTCGTGACCTGGAAGTATCTCAAGACTGGTCTGGTCGGCAACCGCTACTTTGCAACCGGCTTCGGTTCCAGAGGAGGTCAAGCTGGACCTCGACATTCCTGATCTAACGGGGACTTCCGCCAAGGGTACGAAGCATGACAGAATGGCATCTCAATGTGTGTTATAAATCTCCAAACCAAAGCTTAGAGCGAAACATCATCTTCAATCCCATCACAAATAATCGTTACTCCGGGTTTGCTGGTTCGGAACATATTTCACACATACACCATTCTCAGTCTTACTTCACCTAGTTACACCATACACCTAGTGTTTAAAGTTAGTCTAGTTTAATTTGTTTAGTAATGTGGCAAGGTGGATAAACGAGGGCCCGGGCGGGATTCGATCCCCAGACTCCCGGATGAGGGTCATACGCTCTAACCAGTCAGCCAAAGGGACATCCCCTTGGCCAAGTAGCCAGGGCGCATGATCAATCATGACATTGTGACAGAACGCTCACACTGTCACAGTAATAGATCTTTAAACTTTTAAACCTGACTCACTCTCTTTTCTTGAAGTTAATACTAAGTGTTACTCAATCCCTGCAATAAAAAGATCTGATCTTCTGGTTAAATTTACAGGGTTTCCCTTACATAGGCGAAATCCCACCGCCACGCCTACAAGATCCCAAGTTTAATTTTTTTTAGCGCTGTTTCCTGAAGAAGCAGCAGGAACTACTATGTCGCTTGTGATCACAGCCGGCGGGCAGCAAGGAGCAGGCAGGGCAAGCAGTGGCGGCTGGCCACTAGAGGGTGATAGGGCGCCGCCCCCCCAGTTTTCCCCAGTGTTTTTAATTTTTATTAAAAAAAATTACCAATAATCACATATTCTAAGTTAATTGCGTGTTTTGTAACAAAAACAAATCATATATATATCTATATCATTGGTGAGAAGCTCCCTGCCGAGCGGTGGAGGCGACAGAAAGATCGCCCAAACAGCAGTGAAGCAGCCAGCCAATTGCTGACAAGAAAATCAAACGCATAGGAATGGGAATGCATCCAATCAGCGTCGTCGATTCGGAAGCCCAAAGGGCTATAGAGCTACCGCCAAGGCTGTTCGTTGGTGTTCGGGTTGAGCTCGACTCGAGCAAGGAATTTATTTGGTGGTGACGCAAATGCAGTGATGGACAAGAGTGGGCTTACAAGCATGGATACCGGATCTCAGCAGCCACTGAATTCAGTTCGGTCTCTTCTCCAGTATCCGTTCTAGAGGAGAACTATGGTTGAAAAACTTAATGTCAAAGAGCTTGGACCAGATCAGCCCGAAGTAAAGATAAGCCAGCAGGACAAGGAGAAGGGTAAACTACACATGAGGCTTCTCCAAAAATTGGTACACCAGGAAGCTTGGCTAGCTGGATGCAATCACGCTAATGCTTTATTTTGCTTTCCGTGTTTGTTATTCAAAACGACTGGGACAGATAAGGCATGGATTGTGTCAGGAGTTACAGACATTAAACATTTTTCTGAGAAGGTGAAGAAACACGAGTCATCCCAGGCACACATGGACAACACGGTGAAGCTAGCCATGCTAGGCAGAGCTAACATTGCCATGCAGCTCCTAGGGAATTCCTAGGGGAAACACTGAATTTACTTAAAGATCCACTAAGGTGATATTTCATACTTCGTGATATTTCACATTTTATGGTTTCTAATTACTATACAGGCAAAAATGTTTCTGTCTTGTGTGGACTCGTGTGCGTCTGTTTAGATTTCTCTCATCACTAAATCTATGTCCACAGAACTCACAGACAAAAGGCTTCTGTCCTGTATGGACTCTCATGTGACAGCTTAAAGTTGATTTCTGACTAAATCTTTGTTCACACTGCTCACAGGTAAAAGGTTTCTTTCCTGTGTGTACTTTATTGTGACTGTTTAAAGCGAACTCATCCCTAAATCTTTGTCCACAAAACTCACAGGCAAAAGGTTTCTTTCCTGTGTGTACTTTCAAGTGAATGTTTAAATGTGTCTTTTGGCTAAATCTTTGTTCACAGAGACCACAAGCAAAAGGTTTCTGTCCTGTGTGGACTCTCATGTGTCTGTTTAATGTTGACTTATCCCTAAATCTTTGTCCACATATCTCACAGGAAAAAGGTTTCTGTCCTGTGTGGACTTTCATGTGACAGCTTAAAGTTGATTTGTGGCTAAATCTTTTTCCACAGAGTTCACAGGCAAAAGGTTTCTGTCCTGTGTGTACTCTCAAGTGAATGTTTAAATGTGTCTTTTGGCTAAATCTTTGTTCACAGAGACCACAAGCAAAAGGCTTCTGTCCTGTGTGGACTCTCATGTGTCTGTTAAGATTTGTCTTGCGGTTAAATCTTTGTCCACAGAGCTCACAGGCAAATGGCTGCTGTCCAGTGTGGACACGAGTGTGACTGTTTAAATGTGTCTTTTGGTTAAATCTTTGTCCACAAAGCTCACAGAAAAAAGGCTTCTGTCCCGTGTGGACTCTCAAGTGAATGTTTAAATTTGATATTCTGCTAAACTGTTTTCCACAGTCATCACAATTAAACTTTTGTTCTTTCTGGACTTTCCTGTATGAGTCTAAATTTTTCTTCACTTTAACACATTTCTTATTAACCAAACAGCTTGAAGATTTTGTTGCTAAATGACTTGTCACTTGCAGACATTTTTGGAGAGAATAAAAGGTAGAAAAAGACTTACGAGTGTATACAAAATATAAAAAGAAAGAAAGAAAACTATCTTTTATAATTTGCCTCTCAAGATAAAAATCACAAAGACCGTTACAACAGAAATAATAATAAAACAGTTTTTTTAAACATTAAAAAATATCATAAATCCCGGAAAAGGTGGCATTAGCAGAAAGAACTGAATAAGAAGAGGATATTGATGAAAGTCACACAAAACACAGCTTGAACAGGACACTTTTGTGCTTGAACATGGTGCTCTTTATGGACAATCCATGACTGGCACAGAAGTCCAATAAGAAAACACCACTTGGATTCAGATTGGGGGGGAATTCCTCCTAAACACATCTTTCCAGGTCTCACTGTTGTTGCCCATGTGAGCGTTCAAGTCCCCCAGAAGAATGAGGGTGTCACCAGATGAAGCACTCTCCAGCACATCCTCCAGGGACTCCAAAAAGGGTGGGTAGTCTGAACTGTAGTTTGGTGCATAAACACAGACAGCAGTCAGGACCCGTTTCCTGACCTGAAGGCACAGGGAAGCTACGCTTTCGCCCCCCAGAGAAAACCCCAACAGGCAGAGAGTCTTGGAGCTAAGAGAAACCCCACCCCAGCCCTCCGCCTCTCACCCTGAGCAACTCCAGCATACCTCTCTCAATGACTTGGGTTCCAGAGCCAATGCTACGTGTCGAGGTGAGCCTGACTATTTCTAAACCTCTTCCACAAGCTCTAGCTCCTTCCCTGCCAGAGAGGTAATGTTCCATGTCCCAATAGCCAGTTTTTGTGTCCGAGGATCCGACCGCCAAATTCCGATTTTAATTCCTCGTTTCGATTCCGGTTCCTATCGATTCCTGATTCTTTCAAGACATGACATGTTTTACATGAGCCATTTGAACATGAATTTTAATTCTATGAACAACATCACCTTCATTTAGACTGAAACCTAAATGTCTCCAACACATCCAGAAACGTCCAGCTGTTTTCAGCTACAACTCTCAGGATGATCGTGTCCAGGATGACTGGGAACTACACCTCCATGATGCAGCAGCATTCAGTCAGAACAGGAACTTAAACGTAGCTGCTGTCAGTAACAATCTAACAGATTTTAAACATTAAAACTCTCAACAGAAACAGTTCAGAAAGGAAATGAAAATGTTCACAACCTTGTGTGTGATTTATTATTATTATTATTTATTGTGAAAGAAGCTGGTGTGGTCCACCACAGAGAAGCTTCTCTAGCATGATGACTTTAATTATTCTACAGGTTATTGTTCAGCCTTCTGACGCTCACACACACACACACACACACACACACACACACACACACACACACACACACACACACACACACACACACACACACACACACACACACACACACACACACACACACACACACATACACACACACACACACACACACACCCCTACCTGTGTCCATGCTGTCCAGGTCCAGGTGGTGAAGAAATCTGATGTTTCATCACAAGTTTGGCTGCAGCCGCACTTTAGATCAGCTGGAGGCCTCCCAGAGAACTTTAGAAGATCTTCATGTTGATCATGAGAACCAGTCCAAAGGAGAGAAGGCTCCACAGCAGCTCTGAGTCCAGTCACTGAACATTCCTGATGTGTCTGAATTCCAGACTAGCTTGTAAACAAAGGAGATAAGAGGTCACATGACCCAGCGTCCTTGAAATGGCTTCTGACTCAGAACAGCAGCTTGGTAACAAAGTGTCATGTCTGTCTTCTGTGCTGAACTTCAGGTTTAAAGCCAGGACTAAAACTGGTCTGGGTTCCGATTATTAACAAAAATGTGTCCCTTTGCTGTTAGCTAAGTCTGTATTTGTGTCCTCTGGAACGTAGATCTGACTTTGTGTTCTTTTCTAGTTTCTACTTCAAACATTGAGCTCATTTTTACTAGAAGTTTCCGTGGTTGTTGTGTTAGAATCACCTTTAAAAGAGCATTTTTAACCAATGATGACAAAAACAACAATTTGTTATGATTTCCTTCTTCTGACCAAAACCTTTCAGGCTAAGGATCATTTCTACTTTAAGCCTGTTAACATGAGCATGAAGATAAAATCATTCTGTTACAAGATTTCAGCATCTCCAGAGGGCTTGTCTGTTTACACATGCAAATCTTCCAGAAGCTTCTCTCAGACCACTTGTGTTCTCTGTCCAAAATACAAACGTCCTTGGTGTAAAGCTAACTATGAGTCTGCTGCTGCTGCCTCTTGGCCAGAGTCGACTCGTCTGGTTTAATGAAGATTAAATAAAATAAGGTCAACTGTTGTGTTAGAATAGTGTATTACTTATGTATGTAGAATATTTTTAAGCATATATAATAATTATAGGTTTATATTCAATTGATCATGTAGAAAATGCATTATTCGTTCTATTCTTTAGCTGATGAGAGCTCAGAGAGTCCAGCAGGTGGCGGTAGTGCACCTTTACGCTGGTCACTGACCACCGGAAAAAGCTGAAACCGGAAGCTGCTAGCAGAGCTAGCTTGTTGTTGTTCTGGTGTGTGAGGAGAATATTTGAGGCTCTGCAGTAAAAATGTCTTCACTTCAGTCTCTGGGAGAGTTGATCAGCTAAAGCGACTAACTGCTGCTGCTGCAGAAATCTTCTCACCAGGCTGTGGAAACTTTCTTCTCCTCCTCAACAACTTGGTGGAGTTCTTTCCAGAACCAGAGAAGATATTCTGCGGTCTTCGTGACAATCGGAGCTCCAGAATCAGGTTGTGGGTGAGAAAAGCTTTTCTCTAGACTTCCTGCCCTCTGGATCTGCTGCTGTTCCTTTGGCCAGAACCAAAGCGTTGGATCTTTAATCTCCTGCGTTGTTCTGAAGCAGCATCTTAATCAGCTCTCCTGCTTTGTTTCTATTGCAGCTGTTAGCTAAACACGGCTAAAGAAAACCTGCTACCACTTCAGGATCATCCATCAGCTGGGACTGATTCATCGTGTGTTCTTCACCACCTGGACAGCATGGACACAGGTGTGTGTGTGTGTGTGTGTGTGTGTGTGTGTGTGTGTGTGTGTGTGTGTGTGTGTGTGTGTGAAGAATCTCTGTCTCTCTAAGCAGCGCTGCAGCTGATGACTCCCAAGAGCCACTTCATTCAATAACTATCGAATGAGTTGACAGAAATAGAATTATAGAACATCTGGAATTAAACTCGGTGCTCAGTCTAAATATGAAGAGATTAGGTAATTCACTAGGGTGTGCTGGAGAGTGCTTCATCTGGTGACTCCCTCATTCTTCTGGGGGACTTGAACGCTCACATGGGCAACAACAGTGAGACCTGGAAAGATGTGTTTAGGAGGAATTCCCCCCCAATCTGAATCCAAGCGGTATTTTCTTATTGGACTTCTGTGCCAGTCATGGATTGTCCATAATGAGCACCATGTTCAAGCACAAAAGTGTCCTGTTCAAGCTGTGTTTTGCGTGACTTTCATCAATATCCTCTTCTTATTCAGTTATTTCTACTAATACCACCTTTTCCGGGATTTATGATATTTCTTCATGTTTAAAAAAAAATGTTTTATTATTATTTCTGTTTTAAAGAACTTTGTGATTTTTATCTTGAGAGGCAAATTATAAAAGATTGTTTTCTTTCTGTCTTTTTATATTTTGTTTATATTCGTAAGTCTTTTTCTACCACCGCACATTTTCAGTAATCGCTGATTCCAAAAAAAAGCTCATTTCAAAAGGTATTTCTTGTTTTATGAGTCTAAATATAAAGAGATTAGGTAATTCACTTCACATTTTTCTGTGTTTCCTACAGATGTTCAACAGGTGGTTCTGATTAAAGAAGAACCTCCTGAAGAACAGGGTGCTGGTGTGGACCAGCAGGACCCAGAACATCTCCACATAAAGGAGGAACAAGAAGAACTCTGGACCAGTCTGGAGGAGACTGATGGTGCCAGGTTTCCATTCACCGCTGTTTCTATAAAGAGTGAGGATGATGAAGAGAAACCTCTGTTCACACAGCTTCATCAGCAGCAAATAGAAGACAGAAATGTCCCAACCAGCAGCTCAGCTGACCAGATGCCATCAGACTCTGGTGGAGGAGCAGAAACTAGCAGGAACCCAGATCTGAACCCTCATGAAAAGACATCCGATTCTTCAGAGACTGAAGTTAGTGGAGATGATGAAGAGGAAGATGATGTGAATCTAGATTCTGAGCTGTCAGAATCTGGGTCTGAATCTGGAGATGGAGACAATGACTGGATTGAAAGCAGATCTTCTGAGTCTCCTATCAACAAATCCTTTAGCTGCCCTGAATGTGGTGAAAATTTTTTCCAGAAGCAGTCTCTCCAAAAACATGTGCAAGTGACAAGTCATTCAGCAACAAAATCTTCAAGCTGTTTGGTTAATAAGAAATGTGTTAAAGTGAAGAAAAATTTAGACTCATACATGAAAGTCCAGAAAGAACAAAAATTTAATTGTGATGACTGTGGAAAACAGTTTAGCAGAATATCAAATTTAAACATTCACTTGAGAGTCCACACGGGACAGAAGCCTTTTTTCTGTGAGCTTTGTGGACAAAGATTTAACCAAAAGACACATTTAAAGAGTCACACTCGTGTCCACACTGGACAGCAGCCATTTGCCTGTGAGCTCTGTGGACAAAGATTTAGCAGCAAGGCAAATCTTAACAGACACATGAGAGTCCACACAGGACAGAAGCCTTTTGCTTGTGGTCTCTGTGAACAAAGATTTAGCCAAAAGACACATTTAAACATTCACTTGAGAGTACACACAGGACAGAAACCTTTTGCCTGTGAGCTCTGTGAAAAAAGATTTAGCCACAAATCAACTTTAAACATTCACATGAGAGTCCACACAGGACAGAAACCTTTTTCCTGTGAGATATGTGGACAAAGATTTAGGGATAAGTCAACATTAAACAGACACATGAGAGTCCACACAGGACAGAAACCTTTTGTCTGTGAGTTTTGTGGACAAAGATTTAGGGATAAGTTCGCTTTAAACAGTCACAAAAAAGTACACACAGGAAAGAAAACTTTTACCTGTGAGCAGTGTGAACTAAGATTTAGCCAGAAATCAACTTTAAGCTGTCATATGAGAGTCCATACAGGACAGAAGCCTTTTGTCTGTGAGTTCTGTGGACATAGATTTAGTGATAAGAGAAATCTAAACAGACACACACGAGTCCACACAGGACAGAAACATTTTGCCTGTATAGTAATTAGAAACCATAAAATGTGAAATATCACGAAGTATGAAATATCACCTTAGTGGATTTTTAAGTAAATTTAACCAGAAGATCGGATCTTTTTATTGCAGGGATTGAGCAACACTTCGTATTAACTTCAAGAAAAGAGAGTGAGTCAGGTTTTAAAGTTTAAAGATTTATTACTAAACAAATTAAACTAGACTAACTTTAAACACTAGGTGTATGGTGTAACTAGGTCAGTGGTTCCTAACCTGGGGGTCCAGACCCCCACAAGGGGGCGCCAAAGCCTCTCAGTGGGTCGCCAGGACCTCTCCACTTTAAGGGGTTAAAACTTCATTTATTACTTGTTTATAGCCTACATTTTGCTCACATTTTTTTCATGAGTGAAAAGTTTACTGATATTAAGACAGGATATAATTAGTACAGAAAAAGTAACACACGTTTAAGAACATTTTGCTCAGCTCACTGTTTTATTTTCAAGTGTCAAAAGTTCATTTAAGATAGGACTGGTTGATTAATCACAGCCTTTACAGTAAAAAATCTAGTATAAACAGTGATATACACATTTAAGTACATTTTGCTCAGTGTGTTTTTTATGTGTCAAATGTTTATTGAAAGGAATGATTGATTTATCAGTGTTTACAAGAAACAATGTGTTCAGAAAAGTAATACAAACTGTCAAGCACATTATGCTCTGTTTGGTTTTGTTAATGACTTTGTTCTGTACTGGAGCCTACTATTACTGTTATCTATTGAATCAAAGCATATTAAAATGTGCTTGAACAATTTTATCATTACTTAATACTGTTTGTACTGGAAGAGAGAATAGGAGGGGGTCATCAAAAATTTTACTGGTAAAAAAGGGGTCCCTTGGGAAAAAGGTTGGGACCCACTGAACTAGGTGAAGTAAGACTGAGAATGGTGTATGTGTGAAATATGTTCCGAACCAGCAAATCCGGAGAAACGATTATTTCTGATGTGATTGAAGATGATGTTTCGCTCTAAGCTTTGGTTTGGAGATTTATAACACACATTGAGATGCCATTCTGTCATGCTACGTACCCTTGGCGGAAGTCCCCGTTAGATCAGGAATGTCGAGGTCCAGCTTGACCTCCTCTGGAACCGAAGCCGGTTGCAAAGTAGCGGTTGCCGTCCAGGCCAGTCTTGAGATACTTCTGGGTCACGACAGTTTTATTGGCATCTAGCAGGACCCTGAAAGGGGTCGTGATGATTCAGCTTTTATTCTGAAAGGAACCGTTGCCAGGTGGAACATGCAACAGATTTAGTCCAGCTTGTCGTTAGGTTCTTTCGGCTTTAAGAGTAAAGTTACGGATTGGCCACTCTGATAACTTCTCTAGAACGCTTTGAACTGAAGTTAAGATGACGTGGGCCAAGTTTTATAATTTGGATGTTTTGATTTACAGTCGAATCAAAAAAGGACAACAAGAGGGTATGTACCGAGCACCAAAAAAACCATGCCTCGCGTCAGATCTGGAAGGTTCTGATTGGATCAGAAAAAGGAAATGTGCCATGTGACTTTAAGTATTACGTGGATGAGCATCAACTTTATCAAATCAACTTTATTTATATAGCACTTTTCATACAAAAGAAATGCAACTCAAAGTGCTTCACAGAATAAAATGGCCCCATAGATCCCATAATCCCATCCAAGCCCCCCTCCCCAAGTATAAAACAATTGACAATTACACTTCCCCTCCCGCAACCAATTTCCAAGGTGAACGTACACTCACTCGCACAAGTGAACAACAGAGTAAACAATCGGCTGAGTTCAGTTGGGTCAGGTAATGGACGACACATCATCAGCGGAGCCATCTGCCTCTACAGCAACAGATCCACGGCAGCAGCCAAGACACCGGCCCATGATGCCCAGGGAGGGAGGCGGGAGACCCCCACCACTGCCTGGGCACTACCCAAGGAGCACCGAGGTGTCAGTGCACCCGCATGTGTGTGTGTTTGTGTGTGTGTGTGCACTTACGGTTTGCGAGACCTATTTGTCAGGTTACACACTAGCATTATGAAACCAATAGGTTTATGAGACCATTTTTGATGGTCTCATAATTCGTGACTTTTAAAGTGTTGTAATCTTTGAAAAACATAAAAAGTAAACGTTAATAGATTAATACAAACTTTGTAACAGCAGTTATCATTTTATTTAGTTATTTCAACAACTTAACCTTTTTGTGTTTTATAGCCAATTTAAAAACTGATCACCTAGCCTTTTTGATGGAGGCATGTTGGAGGCAGGGCAAGGGTGAGCTGTCTTTACCGACTGTATTCTCCACTGTACACAACAAGCATCACATGAAACCATTGCCAAATTAACACCTTCCCAAATATTTCTTTCTTTAACTTTATTTATTTATTTTTAATTTTTCTACTGCTTAATGAAAAACAGATTGAGGTTAAAAAGTCAAGAGAAAAAAACTTGGTCGGATTAAAATAAAGGAATATCATAATGAAAACACTTTTTTTAACTTGTTTGTCACGACTTATGAAGCAAATATAAAAATAAAAATATAACAAACATAACTTGTCTTTGATTAAAATATTTGTCTGGGGAAATAATGTCAACGTAGGTGTGGTTTATTAGTCAAATGCTGAACACACGTCTGTAGAAATGACTCCAGTCCAGCAGGTGGCGCGAGTGCACCTTTACGCTGGTCACCGACCACCGGAAGAAGCAGAAACCGGAAGCTGCTAGCAGAGCTAGCTTGTTGTTCTGGTGTGTGAGGAGAATATTTGAGGCTCTGCAGTAAAAATGTCTTCACTTCAGTCTCTGGGAGAGTTGATCAGCTAAAGCGACTAACTGCTGCTGCTGCAGAAATCTTCTCACCAGGCTGTGGAAACTTTCTTCTCCTCCTCAACAACTTGGTGGAGTTCTTTCCAGAACCAGAGAAGATATTCTGCGGTCTTCGTGACAATCGGAGCTCCAGAATCAGGTTGTGGGTGAGAAAAGCTTTTCTCTAGACTTCCTGCCCTCTGGATCTGCTGCTGTTCCTTTGGCCTCTCTGAGAAACGCGCTCGTTTTGCTGCTTTCATCAGATTGAAGAGGTTCCCTCTATCAGACTCGCTCATCTGAGTTGGTCATGATGCAGGATCGCTGCTCGCTCTCTGATCCATCCTGCTCACACTCTCCGACGGAAAAGCCCCGAATCTGAATGTGACTGGAGGAAAAAGCGGTTAGCTCTACTCCGTGAACTCTGGTGAGCAAAGGTCCTCTTTTCCAGACTGGATCTGTCCTCAGCTGATCAGAACCAAAGCGTTGGATCTTTAATCTCCTGCGTTGTTCTGAAGCAGCATCTTAATCAGCTCTCCTGCTTTGTTTCTATTGCAGCTGTTAGCTAAACACGGCTAAAGAAAACCTGCTACCACTTCAGGATCTGGGACTGACTCATCGTGTGTTCTTCACCACCTGGACCTGGACAGCATGGACACAGGTACTGGTGGATGAATGAATGAATATATTGTCATTCTATGGTGGGACATTACAGTGAATTATGAGAATGTCTTTCATTAGGTGTTATTATGTTTAAATAATGGTCTGTATTTGTATAGAGCCTAAGATTTACAACCCCCCAAAGCACTTCACAACCAGTCATTCACACACTGTTGTTGAACCTTGAAGTTTTAGCTTGACTAGATCTCTGAGGTGTACCAGAAGGTAACAGTTCCAACAGGTGATGAGCAGGATGGGAACGGTCCTCTTGGATGGTCATTCTCAAACTGTGGTGCATGTACCAAATCACTAGTGTCAAAAATAAAATCTCAGATTTTATATTTTTGAATTCGATTTATGATTTTTTTCCGATCTTCTCTCCCCTCAATTATTAAGAACAGCAATAAGTACAAATGGAAGGCACCTTAAAGCCAATTTAGTTTTTTATTTAATCACAAGCAAGACAAATGAAACCCTCATTTCTGAGATGAATAATGAAGAAATGAACACCCTCTTGGAATAAAAGTGCCACGCTCCACGTCCGTCGCAGCAAACCCAAACCAGTTCTAAACAACGGATGATTTCATTCCTTTCCTAGGAACAAACTTCCCACTCTCACTGGTGGCCATGTGCGTGTTTCGTGTGTGTGCTGTGACGTTGTTGTCGCGGTTATGTGAAACTAGCGCTACGGAAGCTCCGGGGGGCCAAAAAGGCGCTGTTACATAAATATTTCGATTTACTTTTTTTTTAATCGACCTCAACAAAACATTTGAATTAATTAATTAAATGGATTTATTGCCCAGGCCTAGCACTAGCATACAACGTCCTGGATGGTACGGCTCCCATCCACCTGAATCCTCTCGCAGAGGCTTAGGTTTTTGTAATGTGAGGTGGCCTAATTTTGGCAAACTGTTTAGAACTGTTCTACGCTGGTTTAGATCGTATCTTTCTAACAGAAGTTAGTGTCTCAATAGGGCTTGTGATCACACGTGATCACGGATAGCATTCTGGGATGTGAGCGGCCATGTTGGAAGGCTGACGAGTGTAAACAATCCGTGAAACAAACAGTACTGTCGCAGAGAAGAAGCGGATTTGAAAGTGTTAAACAACATTATGAAATCCCAGGATAGGAATATACAGGGATAGGTTAAATAAAGACGTCAGGACTGGTATGTGGACAAACTCAACGTTAAAAATGGTTTTGATCCATATGAAAGACCCAAGACTGGAGCACCGATGACATATTGTTGCCGCTGCAGTTCTGCATAACGGACATTTTCGGCTTTCTGGTTTGTGGTGTGAGCGGATGTAAACGTCCAGATGAGAGGTAAACAGAAGGTTCTGTTCAGCGCGTGTTTACATTCCATGAAGACAACACATTCAAACAAACATTCTCTCCCACGGTCCTACACTCTCTGCATGAATGCCAGACGTCAACATTCTTCACCCTAAACAAGTGAAGACTCCATGACTTTTACAACTCATAAGCTTACAGTAATCATATGTGATGAATGAACAAGATGTTTAAATGAAATGTTTGAATAACCTGTGCTTAAATCAGTTAATTTGAAATAAATATTGTTCTTACAATGATCCATTTATATCACAAATCACTATGTGTTTGATTTAACAAGTTAATCATTGTTTACACTCATACACGTTGCAATAAGATACAAATTAAGGTTAAGGTTCACCTTACATAACGTTTAAAGATTCTTTATTCACAGAATTAAGAATCTTGTATCTGAAGGAAGGCGTGGCTTTCTGAGGGATGTTGGTAAACACCCAGAAACGTGTCAAATTCTGATTTGCCAGAATACGCCAAAACTAATAACATTGTGGTTTAATAAAACAGGAATTACTTCCCGAGTAATTCAGTTTCCAGCTGAACCTCGATTCGGCCAAATCGGGAAAGAAGCCTCTTTTGAAACAATCTCCTTTGACCTCCAGTCAAAGCCTCTCTGCAACGCTGCAGCTGAAACCAGACAACCGGTTCTCTAAGAGCCAAACAAACATCCGCCTAATGGGCTCGACACACGGGAGGCGACATCGCGTCTCCTTCAGTCATTTTCAATGAGACATGCGCGACAAAGCGATAATCGCGGGTCTCTCTCCTACCAAGCGAAACGCGAAAAGCGTGCGTGTGAAATGTTGCGCTCGTGCACGTGTCGTGCACGGACGACCCAGCGACGCGATCCCAGAAAGTTGAAACATTTTCCACTTTTCATCGCTGTCGCTCGGACGAGGACCAATCAGTGGAGGTTTCATTCACTGACCAATGAGCGGACAGGATGCTCCGTACATCTCCGAGCAAACATGGAGGAGAAGTAGATTATTATTATGTTTTATATGTAAAATCAGAAGTAAGATTTCACATAACTCTAACAGCACCTTGTGAAACATCATATCTACCACTTTTTTAACTCTGAACCGCTTAAATAACCTTAATTCCCTCCAACCTGACACAGCCAAACAAAACAACAGAAGTTTCAATTTCGCCTTGGAACAGAACGCGTAGACGGCTTTGCCGCTGGCCGCTGCCGCGGGTCGCCTCCCGTGTGTCAGGTAATAAAAGCGATGGCGACAAATTTCGTTGATCGCGGTCGTTTGTCGCCGCCCGTGTGTCGAGCCCATTAGACGCAAATAAACATTCCAGCTTCCTGCCTTCACCTCAAGGGATCTCAGACTCAGACGGGTCCTATCAGAACTAGGGCTGCAGCTATCGAATATTATTGTAATCGAGTACTCTATCGAATCTTTTATCGATTAATCAAGTATTCTAATAAATTACCCTTTTGTGTTTGTAAACCATTATATCAAATAGCATGTTATAAAATATGAAAGACCTCTTGAAATGAGCAACGATTGCCAGTTATTCTTCCAAGTTTTACTCAAATTTAGTTTTCAAAACTTCAGCACTTCAACTTTACTTCACAGTAAACAAATGCGAGCGGCTGCGGCCCAAACAGAACCAGAACCGTTCACGGCACATGCGCAAACATGGCTCGCCAGCTGTTTCCCTATTAACACACGTTTGTTTTAATTTCTACACTTTTTTGTCTCACACTAACAAGGATTGTCGAAAGCATGTTTGCCGTGGTTTTGTCAAATTATACTGATCACA